TTGCCTCAGGTCATCGTGACCTTAAGCTCACAATAATTGAGAACACAGAGCAAGCAGTCTGGGAGCCACGTACACATATTGGCAGTAACAATGTGTTCACAGGCGATAAGCCGAGTACAAGTCTTGAAAAACAAAATCATTAGGCCCACTAAAAGGCCCACTCGCACGCAATCCGGTCACAGGCCAAGAACTTCCAGGAAATCTAATCAGAGCGTCCAGTCGTGCACATACATCCACACAGTGCAATGTTGAAACTATATAAACGCCCAGATTTGAATGAGAAGTGGAGAAAAAGCTAGATGTGTTCTGTTGAAATGTTCAGCGCTGTGTTACGTGTACTGAGGACAGCATGTCAATTTGATCTATAAAATAAACGCTTCTTCTCCCGTCCTGGGGCAAGCAGATGATCGACTGAAGGTGTCCTGATTTTTGACCATTGAAAACCACCACATTTGGTGCATTGGCCTGGCTGAGAAAAGAACCCGGGAACAACTTTAGAATCACTGAAGAAAAAACTTCAGGAGACGTGAGTTAAATCCCTTGCTCCTATTTTAATGACTGATATAAAGCAGATCACTTAAGCTGTTTGGAAGCTGGACACACATTTAAACTGTATCAGACGATTATCTGTTTGCCACTGGATGTTTGCTGCAGCATAAATTGGCATCTTGAGATAAATAGTAGCTGTCGAGAACTGGCTCGGATTTTTGTTTTGGATGATTAATAGTAATCTGCTGAAGCGAGATTGCACCATAACTTTATAGAAATTGGTGGAAACTGGCGGTCACGGATTATAAGTGATGTATCATTATGAATGATGCAACTAATATGTATATCTCATTCTAGTGAGGAATTCTATTTCCTAGAACATGTCGCCGAGTTGCAGTTCGACTGAGCCTGGAAGGCTGTTGTTGTTGAAAAATAGGCCTGAGTCCAGAGGGACTGTATTGAGATCTCGTATGTTGTTGTTGTTTATCTCCGGAGAAAGAAGCAACAGTATTTAGTAAAATAATCTTGATGATGTAACGTTCCATTATCCTGCATTATACTCTGTATTATGCCATTATTATTCTGCATTATAATCTGTATTACTGTCTTATTATTTTACATGGTATGCTATACATGGGCGGCTGTTTAGAGGACTGGGGACTCAGACTACTGACTGACTGACTTACTTATTTTTTTTTTCTTTTTGTTTCCTTTCATTTACCTAGCCTTATATACTACGATACACTATAACTAAGTTCGACTTATTTGGAATGTTTTGAATAGTTATCTTTCACATATTATGTAATATCCAGATTGGGTTGAAGGGTTCAAACAGTGTTGGTTTCACAGATCATCGTGAGTATCATGGTCAGGATGCGATTTGTGCTACGGCCGACGCCGGAGGAAGGATGGATGTTTGGAGGAAGCATGGGTCGATGGGATAGTTTCCTCTTACATGAGTATTAAAATGAAAGAGTAAGATGCCCACAGGACGAAAAAGGGGTTTTCGATCCCATACTAATCGAATCATGGCCATGTGGAAAATGATGATCTTTCTTTGAAGGTTCAGTAATATTCACTTTGTTTTGTTATTCACTTTAGGTTTGTTATTAATCATGACACTTTAGTTTTCATTTAATTTGTTTTTCTCAACTTGCATCCATACTGGGCTACGTCGGTAACACTTAGATACCGTTTCATTTAAACTTCACATACACGTAAGTGCACTTAGTTGCGTGATATTACCATCACTATGCAAATTCTCATTAGTACTTCATTTTCAATGAACTACAGGAGGGAATGTAGAAGCGAATTGTGTTGCCTCAGGTCATCGTGACCTTAAGCTCACAATAATTGAGCACACAGAGCAAGCAGTCTGGGAGCCACGTACACATATTGGCAGTAACAATGTGTTCACAGGCGATAAGCCGAGTACAAGTCTTGAAAAACAAAATCATTAGGCCCACTCAAAGGCCCACTCGCACGCAATCCGGTCACAGGCCAAGAACTTCCAGGAAATCTAATCAGAGCGTCCAGTCGTGCACATACATCCACACAGTGCAATGTTGAAACTATATAAACGCCCAGATTTGAATGAGAAGTGGAGAAAAAGCTAGATGTGTTCTGTTTAAATTTTCTAGCGCTGTGTCACGTGTACTGAGGACAGCATGTCAATTTGATCTATAAAATAAACGCTTCTTCTCCCGTCCTGGGGCAAGCAGATGATCGACTGAAGGTGTCCTGATTTTTGACCATTGAAAACCACCACAAGACAAAGTTGGTCTCACAATTTTTTTTAATTTTTTTATATACCTTTATTTTTACAGGCAAGTCACAATGGCGGCCTGATAAGTGGAGTAACCTCTTAGGAAAGGAAAGTAGGGTTAAAATAAATCAAATACTTAAGTAATACATACCGTATTTTCACGACTATAAGGCGCACTTAAACGTCTTTTTTTCCCCTCAAAATGTGCGGTGCGCCCTTTGGTGCGGTGCGCCCTATGTGTGTTGTAACTGCGACTTTTGAGACCACCTCATTGAGGAGATGATGAAAGAGTGGCTGAATGTAAGGAGACCAGGTGTTTTTTTCTTTCCACTCATCACCATCGCTGTTAATATGTAACTCCATGCGTGCCCATCTCACAGCTGATGTGAAAAACATGGGGAAACAAATTAACCCTGTGCTCGCTGTTCAACCGCTCGACATCGGTGTGAACCGGACCCAGCAGGTGCAGCAGAAGCAGCGAGTTTACATGCAAAGTCAATGGTTGACGCGCGTATAGGTGCAGCAAAAGGTCCTGCAGCGCGTTTTGAGCAGCAGGAGCGTTTAAGCATCTGACGCACCGCCAACGCGCTGCTGCTGCTCGAGATGGAAAAATTGAAGTTTTGCTGCTGGACGCGCCGCATCAACCAATCAGAGAAGCTGATCTGGGAGCTGACAGCGAGACAGACACAGCGCTCTGATGACATATGATATTAACGCAAATGAAAAAGGCTGGATGGATGAGGAGATGATGAAAGCGTAGCTGAGGGAGGTGTAGCCTATGTGAGGAGACCAGGTGGTTTTTTCCACGCATCACCATCGCTGCGTGCCCATCTCACAGCCGATGTGAAAAAAAGGTGAATCAAATGAACGCTGTGCTCGCCGTTATCCCGGGAGGTCTGACAAAGGAACTTCAACCGCTCGACATCGGTGTGAAGCGGCCGTTCAAAGTAAGGCTGCGAGCGGCGTGGGAGCGATGGATGGCCGACAGAGACCACAGTTTCAGGATAAGTGGAAGGCAGCGCCGGGCAAGTTACGCCACCGTTTGCGGATGGATTGTAGATGGACTAACGTGTCTGCTGGCTCTGTTGTACAAGCTTTTGCAAAAGCCGGCATTATTTCTGAGGAGCTGTGCTGCACGGAAAGTGACTGACAGCGAAGAATGGGAAATTGGCATGTCTGATTTAGCGCAGCTGTTTAATTCAGAAACAGAGGATGATGACTTTGATGGGTTTGATTAATACTTTGTAATAAATACATGAATAAAGCACAATCATACTCAGTTTTGCTCCCGCTCTATTTTTCTACCTGAAAACTTAATTCTACAGCAGCATCTGGGCGGGTCTCCTCCTCTTCACCGCGGCGGCTGGCAGGTGTTTTTCATCTAAATAATCTAAATCTTGCAGCTATATTTGCTGTGATCAATGGGAATAAAGTAGTTTTAATATGTTTTTAAGTGAGAAAGGCCACCTGAAAACTTAATAATTGCAGTCAGTTCATCCAGATTATCTATTTCTGTTGGAGGCGCTCAGACCCCGACATACCAGCGGTGCGCCGACAGGAGAAATCCCTTCATCAGCAGCCTCTAGGCTGGGCAGCCTCCGGGTTCACGCGGTGGCTGGCAGGTGTTTTTCATCTAAATAATTTAAACTGCAGGCACCAGGATACCGGTAATAAAAGCGAACATATTCCGTCGGCAGGTTTCAGGATTTTAAGTTAATTTAGGAGTGATCACAGCGCTGTGTCATCTGCGATGTGTCTGTCTCACGGCCAGCTGCCAGGTTTGATTAATACTTTTTAATAAATACATGAATAAAGCACAGTCATACTCAGTTTTGCCCCCGCTGTATTTTTAAATACGCAGTAGAGGTATTTAAAGGTAGTAGAGGACATGTACCTGTATATAAAAAACGCGCCCTATAGTCCGGTGCACCTTATGTGTGTGTTAAATACAGAAATGGGACACATAACTGAGACTGCGCCTTTTAGTACGGTGCGCCTTATGGTCGTGAAAATACGGTACATAAAATATAATTTAAAACACAACAGACGACCCCAAAAATGTCTATGCAGAGAAGCAGCTGCAAGTGTCTGTGAACAAGGATGATATAATTGTTTTGAAGGATGAAACTAAAATTAGTCTATCCAGTTTACGAATATTTTGCAGAGCGTTCCAGTCACGAGCCGCAGCAGATCGAAAAGAAGTAAAACTAAAAGTAGTGTTGGTTTTAGGAACTAAGTAATTGTAGATGTAGTGAGGACCTGCTGTTGTAAGTGACGGGCTTTGGCTCCAGCAGGTGAACATAATCAGGTGACCTGATTTAAAAGGGTCTTTTAAATAAAGATGAACCAGTGAATTTTGCGTCGATTGTGAATGGAGGGCCAGTTAACAGAGGAATACAGAGCACATTTATGGCAAACCTGATGGTGGAATGGTAAAGACTGTCAAGTTTTGATAGAGTGGACTTGCAAGCAACCCTATTTATAGTATCTCCATAGTCTAAAATGGGTAGAATGGACATTTAAACCCTCCTTATGAGAATCAATATTTTTATACAAAACACTCCTTAGTAGAATAAACAGCCCTCTCCCTTAGACACCCAGCAGCCTTGCAGGTCTGAGGGCTGAATTAATTAAACCCAGCTTAGATTAATATATTTAAAAAGGAATCAAAAGCAGATCAATTTTTTCCCAGCACTAACAACTGTCTCTGTTAAAAAGCCTGGCAGTAAACTTATCTGAATAGTGCATTTCTGACCGTTTTCTCCAATGTTCTCTGGCTTTGAGACAATGTTTTTTTAAGGCTCAGATTTCCTCAGGAAACACACACATCAGACAAACATTCTGCGGGCAGACCTTCAATACTGATATCTGCAGTCAGCTTGTGTTCCACAGAAGCTCTAAAGCAGTAAGTAAAATCTTTGTTTTAAAAGTCTCACTCTCTCTAAAAAGAGAATGTAGCTCTAACTTAAATGAATTGCTGAGTTGATCCAGCTTAATTAATTTAGTTAAATAGTTACCACGTTGAATTAATAAGTTAGGCTTATCTAAAGACATAACCTTTACTCTGAATGAACAGAAACAGAACTATACCCTTAGATTTTATGCTATTTAAGCTATGAACTCCATGTATTGGATTTTTCATTTCTGCATTGAGTTTACGACCCAAATTTCGACAGAGGGAGCCAATAAGGACCAACTTCCCTTTTTATAGTAAATGAAAGTGAAAAATTGTTCGCTCCAGCCGCGGACTGATGAAGACAGGATGTTGCTGCTGCCAGCAACAACACCCTGCAACAACACTCTGTGTTTTTGACATGATCAGACAGTTGGCTTAGAAAAATACCACCTTAAAGCCACGGATGATTGTTGAGATTTATGTTAAGCTGAACAAAAAGCCTTATTTGGTTTTGTTGGAATAAATTCAGTTTGTTTTAGTGGAAGTTTTCTTTGTTTATTGAGAAATTGTTGTAAATTCACATTCAGGATGTTATCCCCTTTAGATGTATGTGCCACCGTAAACGCCTGCAAAGTCTCATGCTAAATTATTCTCTGTTTGTTTCCCTCAACAGGTTCTGAAAATGTCTCTTTCAACTCACTGTCAGTGCACAGTGGAGATTCAGAACAAGACATCCAGCGTCATCCTGTCTGAGCCGCTGTGAGTTTTAAAAAAGACGTACACCCAGCATCCAGGACCAGAAATAAATAACTGAAAATGTTTTGTCATTATTTCCTTTCTATCTCTTCTTTCTTTCATCTTTTCTCTTTTTTTCTTTTTTCCTTTTCTTCTTCTGTTTTTCTGCTCTGTTTACATTGCAGTGTCCATATAAACTGTAAAACTCCCTGCATAATTATAATAAAGCAATTTATATGCATGAAACAAGTGGAGCAATATGGCAATTGCCATATTGCTACACTTGTGAAAGTTAAATCTGTTGAGCTCTTTTTGGCATCAAGACAAGTATTCTTATTGCCACATTGCCAGACAGGACACTGTAAGAGAAAAAAAATAAATAAAAGAACAAGACATCCAGCGTCATCCTGTCTGAGCCGCTGTGAGTTTTAAAACCGACGTACACCCAGCATACAGGACCAGAAATAACTAATCCTCATGTCAACCTCAGTGAGGAAAAAATAAGTATTTGAACACCCTGCTATTTTTTAAGTTCAACCATTTAGAAAACATCTGAAGTCGTCATCATAGGTGCATGTCCACTGTGAGAGAAAATCTAAAATAAAAATAAAAAAATTCAGAAATCACAATGTATGATTTTTTTAACTATTTATTTGTATGATACAGATGCTGGTGAAGGTTCTTCATCATCCAGGTCATAGTCATTCTAAAAAAAGAAAATTAAAAACAATCCACTGGACTTTGTTTCCAAGTTTGAAGATGTTTCGCTTCCCATCCAGGAATATTTTTCAATTCTATATTCCTGATATTTTGAATTAAACAAAGTCCAGTGGATTGTTTTTAATTTTCTTTTTTTTTGGTATGATACAGCTGCAAATAAGTATTTGAGCACCTGAAAACATTTACGTTAATATTTGCTACAGTAGCCTTTGTTTGCAATTGCAGAGGTCAAATGTTTGTTTTTAATTTTGGCCCACTCTGCCACACAGATCTTCCTCTAGATAAGTCAGGTTTCTGGGCTGTTGCTGAGAATTACAGAGTTTGAGCTCCCTCCAAAGGTTCTCTATTGGGTTTAGGTCTGGAGATTGACTAGGCCATGCCCTTACCTTGATATGCCTCTTACAGAGCCACTCCTTGGTTACACATTTAAAGGTTGCCATGTTTGAAACCCATGGAGGGAACCTGGGGACTGAATTTGCAAACTTACTTGAAAAAATTTGGACTTCAACATTTTATCCATTTCTTTAAAACATAGGTCATTGCAGCTTTGGATTCTCTTTGCATGGACAAGCTTGAAAGGTTCAGTTTAGGCAGAGATGGGAAGTAACGAAGTACAAATACTTTGTTACTGTACTCAAGTAGATTTTTCTGATATTTTTACTTTACTACTTATTTTTATGGCGACTTTTTACTTCTACTCCTTACATTTTTACACAAATATCTGTACTTTCTACTCCTTACATTTTAAAAAATTGGCTCGTTAATTTAGTTTTGAATCATTTCAATGGAGTTACCGTTATTATTTTTCACGTCATCAATACCAAATTCAATCTAATTGGATGGGAATCTACGTTGCATTTGACGCACCACTACAAGATGAATCGACAGATTCGGCGGTATTCATTCGCGGCAAATCATTGCAGCTTGGTGGCGGTGGCGTTAGCATAGTAGCATGGACGACGAGATAATTGAAAATGAACACAACAAAGATCTAGTCCTATTGGCAGACATCCATGTAAAATGTAGGCAACGGCATGAAAAAAGTGGTTTCTACTTTTACTTTTATACTTTAAGTAAATCTGCGATGGACTGGCGACCTGTCCAGGGTATACCCCGCCTCTCGCCCATTGACTGCTGGAGATAGGCACCAGCACCCCTCGCGACCCCAATTGGGAGAAGCGTGTCAGATAATGGATGGATGGATGGACTTTAAGTAAATTTACAAGCCTGTACTTTGTTACTTTTACTTGAGTAAAGAAGTTTAATCAGTACTTCCACTTTTACCAGAGTATTTTTAAACACAAGTATCTGTACTTTTACTCAAGTACAGAAAGTGAGTACTTTTGCCATCTCTGAGTTTAGGCAACTGGACGTGAAGTTTTCTATAAGACCTTTCGCCTCTCATCCAAGAGGCATCTTCAATTCTAACTGCTGGTGTGGAGCACTGAGATTAATTTACTGTAGGTCTAACAAAGAATTAGGATGAACAAAAGGTGGCTCCTATTCCTCCTACTGGATTGGACATGTAAGTTACCTGGGTTGTTAATGGTTGATAGGGGGTTCTGATGGGTCATTAACTTCCTTATCAGAGTGGTTTCTCCTCACATGCCTCTCTGAAGTATGATTGAGGGCAGGTGAGAGGGAAATCTTCTGGGTATTATTGCTAAAAGTCCTTTGTACGAAGGTGAAAGGTTATGTCTAAGACCACCTCCTCTGTTAAGACATGGTTTTTCCAGATAAACAAAGATTGCTTCCTTAAACCCTCTCTCAATCCATCTTTCTTCCTTGGCCAGAATATGGATGTTGTTGTCCTCAAACAAATGTTTTTTTGCCTTTAGGTAGACATAACCTTTTACCTTTTGCGTGAGGTTCAGGTAAATTAGTTCATAGATGCTTGTAGCTCTGCTTAGACACCAGGATTTGCTCTCAAACATCTCACGAGGGCCAACTGAATTTCAAACATATAGGATTTTCTCCTGACCTCACGATTCCTGATCCGGATGTGGTCATGAGAGGATAGTTGCCCCTCGTTACGCCCTGTATACTGTTAAGGAAAAATGATTATTTTTAGTTTTTAATACAGTTAATCTTATGGCATGTGTAAAAGGTATGTTGAACACTCTCATTTTGAACATATTTCTTAATTTTGAACAAGTTTGTGTTAATGATTTAAAACTAAACTATTGATGGGTAAGTATTCAAAGTACAGGAAGGAAAATGTAGATCAAAGGGGATCTCCCAATGAGGCTCCTGTTGTTTATCAGAGAGGACAGGAGGCCATAAAATGAGTATCTCCTGCAGGGCAGCATCATTTGAGCCTCGAGGAGAGAAGTCTGCTTGGTTCACAGAAGATCAAAAGTCTTCCAGAACTAACATCTGGGATGGTGTAAAACTGAATACAACGTAGAATGTTAAAACACTAACATTTAGTTTTAAAAACATTTTTCTAAGTACTAATAGCATGTTTTTTAAATGAAAATTGTATTATCTAATTTTAGAATTAACTAGTTTAGTAGATGATGAATGAATTTGAAAATGGTACTATCTGTGACAATATCAGAATCAAATGGAAATTGTTTGAATGAAAATGTTTTGTTTAGTATTAGAAAATTGCTCAGGATCTATGCTAAATGGGGTTTTGGAAAATGTGTTAGCTTGTATACTTAGGATTGAATATTATGTTTCATAGGTTAGAAAAAGGAATTGTACCTCATGTTCTGTTGATTCTATGTGTTATTTTTGGTTTAAGGCAGGACTCAATCTTGTGCAGAAGAGCAAAACTGGGTTTGTAAAGATAACCTTTCCTTGAACCAAATTACTGAATTTAAGTTTGTTCCTGAGAATTTATGTAAGGAGAGAGAGAAGGAGAGGCTCCGGATTCCACAGCTATCTGTGAAATCTTATCTTATGTTTTCCTTAGCCAGATGACCTTAGAATCCTGGAGGCCAGGACAAGCTCTCCGCTCTTTTTGTTAAACAAAGGAGCAAATGGCCTTTGATTTTTGCCGTAAATTAGGGGAAGCTCTAAGTTTTTCTGAGTGTCCAAGGTAGCTTCCAATTGGTCAAGCGGAGGGACGCCTTAACTGAATATACTAAAAGGAAAGACACACCTACATCATAAAAGTTCATGCACACGAGTAATAATTCAGATAGCTGCCACTATTTTGCTTTTTTTGCAACAGCTCTCTCCAAAGACGCGTCTTTGCCTTTCTTTTCTATTTTCTTTACCTCAGGTAATTGAATGTATGTTTCTGTTGTTCTGCAGTTTTATTGTTAATTCATAAGCTGTTTCTTGTTGGATTAAATTCTGTGATTCTGTGACGTCCACACGCATTGTTGGTTTCCTTGTGGCCACACGCGGCTCGCCGGGAGGGCCTGGGATCCAAAGAAAGAGAGAGAGCCAAACTTTTTCCAAAGTTAACTATTTTAGAATATTTTCTTCCTTAACAATACACTACGCAGGACACGCAATGACACTGAAACTTGGCCAAACTGAAACTTGCAAAACTGGAAAATCAGCCTTAAAAGGACAAAAACTCCCACAGTCTATGCTCACCTTTAGTTAACTAGAGTTAAAATGTGATAATACAGTGATATCTGTTGTGATTTTGGTTAATTATTAGTAATTACCAAACTATAATTTTTTATATTTAATAGTGATTTAACAAACCCAAGTTCACACCAGGTCTTTACAACCATATATGCTAATAAATACATTAAATAATTGTTAATTAGTCATCAAAATAGTTAATTTTCATAGGCAAATGCCCTATTTATTACAATTTATCTGTTATTTCAGTACAATGTTTGGGTACACTCTCAGTAGTTCCCAACCTTGGTCCTCAAGGACCCTGTATTGCATGTTTTCGGTGTCTCGTTTCTGTTTAAGTAGTCGGATCTCTTTGTGTTTCCATCCAGCATCCATCTCTTTAGTGGAAACTGTGAGTCTCCTCTCCCTCCAACTCTTCGTCCCTCTGAATCCGGCACCGCGCTCTTCATAAAAAAAACCCACGCGGCCTGTGGTTCCGTAGCTGTCTTCACATACGACATCGTTCAGGCGTCCACCAAGCATAATCAAGGCCGGCTGGCTGTCATGTTCTCCAATCCGTACGACTTCAACATGTACTCCAACTGGTATGCCATTGGAGCATTCAGCAAGGACAAGCGTTGCGACGAGGAGCTGTACAAGGAAATGTACTATGGGCAACAGCTCGGCTTTGTCCGCGGAAAAGTCAAGGGCCCCAGCCTGACCAACAAAGTGGGCCGTTTGACCATCAGGGCCAGCATGTCTGACAGCTATCAGCCTGTCCTGAAGGTGGAACTTTGCAACAACTAAGACTGGCTGCTTCTGTTTTATGCAGTTTGTGATTTAACTCAAATAATTTTTTTAGCAAAAGCTTGTCCTTTTATAGCATAACCATCATCTTTGTCTTCATTAATACCAGTTATTTCTTTCCCAGTTTAAAAACTATAAACCATCTATCCAGCATTTGCTTTTCTATCTGTTCTCACCACAGCTTCACAGCTTCCCCAGTGAACATTTAGAAAGTGATCATGTTTTAAATAATCAGTCATCTTTCCAATCTGGAAGTTTTTCCTAAATTGGAGGGAAAAAAACGCTTCAGTGTTCGTTAAAACGGCCAACTGATTCAGAGTTTTCCTCTGAACCCCAACAGCTAAATGAAATCCTGATGCTAATCAGACCACATGAAACATGGGACCTGGTTAAAGTGGATGGGCTTCCGTCTGAATAGTGTATCAGCACATGTACAGATGAAGTAGGATTACAACTGACAGAGTTGATGAAACTGAGTTTAAAAAGTGTTCAATGTTGCACTGTACGAAATTGGACTGGATGTAACTGGGCTACAATGTGTCTCTGTCACTATCTTAGGACACATTTAAGTGAACCAAAATGAACACCTTATATCAGGATCACGCTCTGATTCTGTCCAATGTCTGAGTATCAGATCAGCACACTGATACCATGAGGAGATCTGATGGCCCTGATGCCTTACTGCTGCTGTTACTATCTGAACGTTCTGACTCAATAAAAGCTGAACTTTAATGTGTTTTACTGTTGTCTGTTAGTCTCAATGTGTTTTAATGAAAATGAAAAAGAGAGATCATATCTCTCCTATCCTGGCTTCTCTTCATTGGCTTCCTGTTAAATCAAGAATAGAATTTAAAATCCTCCTTCTCACATATAAAGCTCCATCTGATACAAAGAAAACAAAACAATTTAAGGTCAGATCGCCATACACTTCAAAAACACCAAAAGGTAAGTAATTACATTGTTTTTTGCACAAGACTAAAGGGATACATGCCTGCTGAGGTAGTTTAAAGTCTATTTTTTCATACAAAACTAAAGAGATAAACTAAAGGGATAAACGGTTATTGACTATGGGTATGCTCATCTGACAGAAAACCGGTCCTTAATTGGATAGATTTGTTTTTCATCCTTGTCTTGCCAAACTTAATGTTTTACACTCCTTGTGTTTTTATGTAATTTCACAGCTTTTGGGGTTTTAATTTAACAAAATAGAAACTGCTTAACTAATGAGAAATTTTGATAATGTATTAAGTAAGTAAGTGAGTAAGTAAGTAATCTTTTCTTATATAGCACCTTTCACAGACATAGAGGTCACAAAGTGCTTCACAAAATTACAATACAAATAAAAATATGTTTATTACCATAAACGTATTTAAGTATTTCAATAAAGAACATGTTGATAAATAGTTCATATAAAAATAATTTAAAATAACATATATACAAGTGGTCTGTTAAATTTGACTAAGCAGGCAGGAGCAGGTTTCACAGCAGATCCAGTCTGCTTTCCATAAGAGCTCCCAGCAATCTCTGCTGCAACCCTGAAGAAACAGCACCTTAGTTAATACTACTGTCAGAACATTACTCTCTTAAACAGAAACTCTGCCTGCAGATACATGTGTCAGTTTCAGATTAAAAAATACTCAAATTAATATCCAGTGCCCCCGCCCCTCTCAGGCTAATTAGATCGCAGACTGATCAGATGTGCAGATATTCATGGTAATCAGACAAAAAATGGATAGATCAATGATAAAAGGCAGATCAATGAATCGTTTTAGGATCTTATGTTCATTCCTACTATTTAGTGTGATTTGACTACAGTAACAAAAAAACACAAAAAAAACCTCTTCGTCACCCATCGTGGATAGTCTTCCCCTCTTTTTTCTCCAAGCTAGGGTCCTCTACAAAAGGCCTGGGAGCTTGAGGGTTCTGTGCAGTATCTTTGCTGTTCTACAACTGCACTCTTCTGGACCGAGATGTCTGATGTATTTCCAGGGATCTGCTTTAACCTCTTGAAGTTTGGGAGTCACTGCCCCGAGGGCCCTCAATGACCGTAGGTACCACTGATGCTTTGACCTTCCAGTTTATATATCTACAGGTGCTGGTCATAAAATTAGAATATCATGAAAAAGTAGATTGATTTCAGTAATTCCATTTAAAAAGTGAAACTTGTATATTATATTCATACATTACATACAAACTCATATATTTCAGATGTTTATTTTGTTTAATTTTGATGATTACAAATGACAACAAATGAAAATCTCAAATTCATCATATCAGAAAATTAGAATATTATTGAAGACCAATAAAAACAAAGGATTTATAGAAATGTTGGCCAACTGAAAAGTATGAACATGAAAAGTATGAGCATGTACAGCACTCAGTATTTAGTTGGGCCTCCTTTGGCCTGTATTACTGCAGCAATGCGGCGTGGCATGGAGTCGATCAGTCTGTGGCACTGCTCAGGTGTTATGATAGCCCAGGTTGCTCTAATAGTGGCTTTTAGCTCTTCTGAATTGTTGGGTCTGGTGTATTGCATCTTCTTCTTCACAATACCCCATAGATTTTCTATGGGGTTAAGGTCAGGAGAGTTTGCTGGCCAATTAAGAACAGGGATACCATGGTCCTTCAACCAGGTACTGGTAGCTTTGGCACTGTGTGCAGGTGCCAAGTCCTGTTGGAAAATGAAATCTGCATCTCCAAAAAGTTGGTCAGCTGCAGGAAGCATGAAGTGCTCTAAAACTTCCTGGTATGTGGCTGCGTTGACCCTGGACCTCAGAAAACACAATGGACCAACACCAGCAGATGACATGGCACCCCAAACCATCACTGACTGTGGAAACTTTACACTGGACTTCAAGCAACGTGGATGAAGTGCCTCTCTTCTTTTCCTCCAGACTCTGGGACCTTGATTTCCAAAGGAAATGCAAAATTTACTTTCATCAGAGAACATGACTTTGGACCACTCACCAGCAGTCCAGTCCTGTTTCTCTTTAGCCCAGGCAAGGCGCTTCTGACGCTGTCTGTGGTTCAAGAGTGGCTTGACACAAGGAATGCGACAGCAGAAACCCATGTCTTTCATACGTCTGTGTGTGGTGGTTCTTGAAGCACTCACTCCAGCTGCAGTCCACTCTTTGTGAATCTCCCCCACATTTTTGAATGGGTTTTGTTTCACAATCCTCTCCAGGGTGCGGTTATCTCTCTTGCTTGTACACTTTTTTCGACCACATCTTTTCCTTCCCTTCGCCTCTCTATTAATGTGCTTGGACACTGAGCTCTGTGAACAGCCAGCCTCTTTAGCGATGACCTTTTGTGTCTTGCCCTCCTTGTGCAAGGTGTCGATGGTCGTCTTTTGGACAACTGTCAAGTCAGCAGTCTTCCCCATGATTGTGTAGCCTATAGAACTAGACTGAAAGACCATTTAAAGGCTTTTGCAGGTGGTTTGAGTTAATTAGCTGATTAGAGTGTGGCACCAGGGGCCATCAATTTTGAACCTTTTCACAATATTCTAATTTTCTGATATGATGAATTTGAGATTTTCATTTGTTGTCATTTGTAATCATCAAAATTAAACAAAATAAACATCTGAAATATATGAGTTTGTATGTAATGTATGAATATAATATACAAGTTTCACTTTTTAAATGGAATTACTGAAATCAATCTACTTTTTCATGATATTCTAATTTTATGACCAGCACCTGTATATCAGTGGCGGCTGGTGAAAAATATTTTTGGTGGGGCTGATATAGCCTAGTGTATGTCTCCAACTAATCCGGAATAAGAATTCAAATAAACAATTGGACAATACATACAATTTAACAGTAATGATTTAATTTACTATATAATAACAGTAACAGTGATGATTTGGGTCACTGTGACGGGGTTCTTTGGCCTCCAAGAATCCAGTCTCAGGTTACCGGTGTTGGTGATTTATTGAGCTCAAAAACTCAAAACAGGGTGCAAAAGAAACTAAACATACAAGATACTCTGGGCCTCAGCCTCCCTCCAGTTACCAGCAATGTAACAAAGAAACAGAAAACAAAAATTGCCGCTTTTCTTCCCACAGCCCTCATTAAATAGTTTAAGCCCCTCACATCAGGCTCTCTTATTTCTGATTTCGTCTCATTAATCAGTTTTGTCCATATATTACCTCCACAAACAATTGATGTACAAAAACAAATAATTTTTACAACTTAATTCTTTTACACAGATTCATTGATTTATTCAATTACACCAAACTGGGTTTGAACCCAGCAAAGACGCAGCCAGACTGAAGATGACAAGTCCCCGTAGCATAAACACGTACACCTCCCCCCAGCAAACACCCCCCCCCCCCACACACACACACACACGGCTAACCCCACTGAAATATTAAGTGTGCACCCTCAATACGCCAGCAGGTAACCAGGAACAGCTTGTGTGTTTTAAGTTCATGGAGCTACTGGTCTCTGCGCGAGTGTATTGGTCCTCACAAACACAGTATAACAGGAATGTGTGTGTGGCGCGCAAAGTTAGAGAGGTTGTTTTAAGCGACGAGGTGGATTCGTCACAGTCACAATAACCATGACATGAAATGTTCATATCCTACAACAGGGATGTTCTTCTGGCAAACGGGTAGATAAATAAGGATCTCACCGAATTTGGTGGAAGCTGCATCTCGCTCGTTACATTCGCCATCTTCCCTCTAACTGTCTGCACCTGCGCTTGGGTTCAGAAGCCTGTTAAAGCGCAGTATTTTCAGCGCCCCAATACCATAAAGTTCTGAGACGCTGATTGGCCATTAAATTCACCTAGCAATAGTACATGATTGACAGATTCTCTGCAAATGTGGGGCTGTCTGATCACAGCCCCCAGAACAGAGACGGTAGGAGTCTGTCTGTGGAAATCCACAAATTAATGACAGTAGATAGGGAAATGTAGTTTACATAATTTGTTTTGCTTATAGGTACACAGTCTAGAGAGTAAAACTGACATTTATGAGTTAATTTCTAAAAATATATTTTACGTTTCTCTCTTCTTATCAGGGAGGGCGGTGCCCCAGCGCCCCCTATGGGCCGGCCGCCACTGATATATATATATATCTCACCCACCGCAGGCGGTCTCCCCTTTTTACCTCCAAGCTCAGGTCCTCTGGGGTTCACTGGCCCGAGTGCCCCAATGACCATTGGCACCACTGATGCCTTGATCTTCCAGGTTTTCTCCAGCTCTTCTCTGAGACCCCGGTATTTGTCTAGTTTTTCGTGTTCTTTTTTCATGACGTTGCAGTCACTTGGTATTGCTATGTCAACCACAGTGTCCAGTTGATTTGCCATTACCATTCAGTCCGTCTGTATCTGGAAGTCCCACAGGAGCTTGGCTCGTTCCTTCTCTACTCTCTTTGGAGGTATTTCCCAC